CTCAGAGTTCATATCCCCTGCACTGTTGTCAAACATCACGTGGCGGGACATGCGCAAACAAGGCATGTCTTCACCGACACAACTTGGTGAGCGGGATGAACACCTGCTGGCAGAGTCAGGAGGAGGAGAAGAGGAGACGGGTGAGATGAGGGGAAGGAGAGAGAGGAGGAGAAGGTGGAGAAAGGGAGCTGGGAGGAGGTGGAAAAAGAGGACGAAGAGGAGGGGGAGGAGGGGGAGCAGAAGGAGAAGATGAGGAGGGAGAAGATAACGAGGAGGGAAGAGGGTGAGGACGAGGATCAGCAGAAGGAGTGAGGAGGGGGAGGAGCGGAAGGACCTTTCTGGAGTAGGTTATCAGTCGGCCCATGCGCGTGGTCTCGGGAGGAAGAGAAGATCTGCAAAGAGTCTTAGCAGACAGAGTTCGCAGCATGCCCTCACCTCAGCTCCTCGTGCGAGAGGCTCAGGAGGTAGCTCGCCTCCTTCAGCTCCTCCTCCTCCCTCCTCGACTGCATCTGCATCGCTCCCTTCTGAAGAGCAGCAACTGCAAACAAAGTTGGAGGACAGCTATCTCCTGCTCCTGCCCTTGCTCCTGCTCCTGCTCCTGCTCCTGCTCCTGCTCCTGCTCCTGCTCCTGCTCCTGCTCCTGCTCCTGCTCCTGCTCCTGCTCCTGCTCCTGCTCCTGCTCCTGCTCCTGCTCCTGCTCCTGCTCCTGCTCCTGCTCCTCCATGCGCACCCCGGGGTCGTAGGACAGAAGGGGCATGACGGCTGAGCTGCGATACCCTGGACAGGAGCTCATTGGCTGCGAGAGCAGAGGAGTGAAGGGTGACACCTTGTCGAGCGCAAGACAGACGTCTGAGGGGAGATGATATACGCCGACGTCTGCATCGTTGAGCTGCTCCATTCAAGACTGACAAGAGCCGCCACGATGGCCCAAGATTTCATCGGGTACTGTGGTATGCTGCCGGTAGACGTGTGCTCCAGAGGAGGAGTCAGAGAGAGAAGGTGGCGGTAGCGGAGGAGCAGGTCGCAGTGCAGAAGAGGAGGAGTCAGAGAGAGAAGGTGGCGGTAGCGGAGGAGCAGGTCGCAGAGCAGAAGAGGAGGAGTCAGGTGGGGAGTATGGAGGGCGCTGGTCAGCTCGGCTGGTAGCGGGAGCCGAGGGATCAAGCGGTGTAGGAGGAGGGGAGCACCATGAAAAAGGGGGGCCGCGCGAAAGATGGCAGACCAGAAACCCTCCGACTACGAACTTGACCTGGAACTTGACTCTGACCTGACTACGAACTCGGAACAAGCACACTACGCTACGGTCACCACTGAACAGCAGCGGCTACGATCATGCCTGACTGCCCGGCCGGGCCCACCGGGCGCGATATCGCACTGGGAGTCGGCGGCAACGATGAACGGTTCGAAGACAGCTGACGGCCCGTGGTATCGTTTTGAGACGGTTCAATAGTTTGAATACACCTCAACGAACTATTGTTAAGACATCACTGCAACTTGTCCTCTGCGTAGGAGCTGATCATCTCTCTCTCTCCCTCGTTGCCGTAGGCTGATACTATGCACTTCGTACACACCATGTCATCGTTCAACGCCCTCTTCACGATCTCTCTCTTGACAACATCGGCCCAGTACCTCGAGCCACTGCCAGTACGGTATGATCCGCCGAAGGAAGGAGTCCTCCGTTCATGACCCGCAAGGTACCAATTCAGATGGTGCAGCCATCTTTGACAGAAGTCGAAGACGATCGTTGCATCGGAGATCTCGTGCTGTACCTCCTCTGTCTTCAGCATCTCAGTCAAACTTGCATCCCTCCCCGAACTTGCCGCCTCCAGCTTGGCTTTCAAGACCCATATGGATAAAGAGTTCACCCCTTCTTGGACTTGGTGACTAAGGTACAAAATAGAGCATACGCCCACTTCACATCACTGCACTTCGAGCCGATATCCTCCTTCGTCTCGTCCAGGGCTTGTGTGAAACTATCCAAGACAAACTTCCACTCATTCGAAGAAACGCTGCTCTCAGTGCGCAGCAGGTTGTTCTTGCTGCCATCCTTACCTGGCCACGGCAATCTGCTTGCCAAGAGATCACTGGAAGAACCGCGGCCCAACTCATCGTCTTCTTGGATCTCGGATTCGCTTCTGCTGTGCTTGGAGCTGGTGTCGCTGCCTTGCCAGCTCGGATTCCTCTGGAGACGAGTGCTGCCGAGACCCTTCTTCCGCCTCCTCTTGGGCGACTTGATGAGGATGAAAGCCAGCAGGGTGAAGAAGATCGCCAAGTAGATGTCATGGAATGATTTCCTCTGTTTGAAGGTGTAGGCGAACAAAGCCAGGCACCAAGATGTGATGACGAGGTAGTCCTTGGGCGCCAAGTCAACTGATTGCTGATATGTTCTATGCGGCACTATGCACACCATATTCTCACTGGAAGATTCGCCGTTGTTGTCTGCATCTGTCCCTTGCGACGGCCTCAGATTGTTGTTTGGATTGAGCCAAAAAGAAGTCCAGCAGCTAAGAAAAACGCCGTCGAAACGATTGAGAGTGCCATGATTCGCGCTTCTGCATCTTTCAGCTCTTGCAGGCTCACATTGGCCTGGTCTGTCGCAGCTCCAGACACCATAGTCAAGCAGGAAAGGCAGATAGAGGTATTCTCGTGCTCACAACCATTCCTCCGCACTCGCCTCCCGCTTTGCTTCTAACCAGGGAAGGAGACAGATGAAAGTGGATGAGAGGCGAAGGACAAAGGTGAGAGAAAGAAAGAGAAGAGAAGGAGGAAGAAGAGGTAGCTGGGAAAGAGGTAGAAGGTGAGAGATAGAAAGAGAAGAGAAGGAGGAAGAAAAAGTAGAAGGGGAAGACACAGGGAGGAGTCGCGCCGGAGATCACGCCTCGATGGTCGCCGATTGATGTAAAACAGTTTTCAGACTGTTATATTTACAATGCCATCAGGAGCATGCTCAGGTCGAAATTCTGCCCGTAAAGTGGAAAAGTGCTGTGGCTTTACCAAGGGATCGATAACGCAGGATGGGAAAGAGAGGAGTGGTTGTAGGAGAGGGGCAAGGGCGTGAGAGAGCAGTATGCAGGAGGTAATGAGAGGTGATAAGTGTCAATGATGATTTTCACTCGTTGTTTGAGGACGGCTGAACGTGAGAGTGTGTAGCAAACGCTTGCGCCCGAGAGGAAACGAAATGCGAGCAGACGGACGCAACACCCCTAGCTTTGATTAGAGGAAGTGGGTGGGGTACTTTAGGGAGTTGTAGCCGAGCCACCCCTGTTTGGAAGGGAAAATGGGTAGGTGGAGAGCTGGTTGTAACTCTGTTAAAATGATAAAAGCCCCGTACGAAAGCTTTGATTGAGCTCTGATTTAGTACTA